CACTGCGGGAGGACGCCCGCGAGGAGGTTTCGAGGGGAGAGAAGCCCAGCCTCGGTTCGCCCGGGCAGCCAGCACCTACCTGAACCCAGGAAACGGGAGCCCGGTGGCGTCAGGTGAGCAGTACACGCTGCTGTGCATTATTATCCCGTAGACCAGCAGGGCCAGCCTGGCTCCGCTACACATGGTCGTTCTGTGCAGGACGGGAGAGAGGGCGCGCGGCCGTCAGAATGCCCCCGGCCTTCCGCCCTGCAACCCCCAGAACTCGGGGCGCTGGGGGAGGGGCGGAGCGACAGCCCGAGCTTGTCCCGCCGCTTCCTCCCCCTATACGGAGTTAGAGATATAAATATATATATACATGTATACATACATACATACGTATATATATATCGCCAGACCTGATGCGAAGGAAATCTAAGTGGGACCCTCATGCCGGCGAAAGCTCCGGCGGGGAAGTGAGCCGCCCGCGTCGGTGAGACGCCCTCCCCACCCCCTACCATTCAGTCTTACCGCCGCCGGGAGAGGGTTTGCTGCCAAGTAGGACGGCGAGCGACGGGTTCCTCCAAGTTTCCGCGCGGGAGTCACAGCCCCGCAGGCACCGCCGTCTGGCGTCAGGGTCCGAGGAGAAGCCGCAGGGACGCCCGGGGGCCGCGGGGGCAGCGGGGGGACTTGTTCGCCGCGGCCGGTGTTCTGTTCAAAAGTTTGGAGACGCGCAGAACTGGGAGGGCGCGTGATGCCGAGGGAAGGGGCGAGGAGAGGGGTGTAGGAGAAAGGAAGGAGAGGGGACGGGCCGCAGGGGGGGTGGACAGAGTGGCCGAAGTCCACCGGGGAGAGAGGTGAGCGGTTAAGGGGAAAAGGGCAAGTCGAGGAAGGAGAGGAAGGCAAAGAAGGAGGCCGAGGCGAGGCCGGCGTCCGGGGAGCCGCCGGTCGGGCCGCCGCGCCAGCCGGCAGAGCCTTCCCCGCGCCGAGGTCCCTCCGGCGGTGTCTGAAGCTGCGGCTGCTTCTGCTAACCGCCGGTGGTTACGGAGGTGACCGGCCCTCTGCTCCTATTTATACATGCAGTGGGCAGAAATCTATCGGAATATGTTTTTAGAAGAGGCTTCTTTGTCAACATCTGCCTGCCTATGGCCTTTAAGTACAGAATATTTTGTTGCACTGTTGCGCTCATGAAATGACTTCCTCTTTTTTTTTTTCAGTCACGCAATGATCGGGTATCAGAAAAAGACGTCAGCATCCTAGTCCCTCAAGGAACATATTAACTATTCTGTGCTGTCCTCTTGGATGATAAGATCCGAGTCATCCACTTCTCATAAACACCTTTCACGCACACTGTAATCCAATTTTTAAGAAGTCCGATTATTTTTTGGTTTTTCAATTTTAGCCATTTCTCGAAGATGGGCAGAGAATTCATAGAATTTAGAGCATGGTAAAAGTCATGTTTTTAATGATGTCCCTACTATTTCTCTTTACTTTTCATCAAGCCCCAGCAATCAAAGCTCTGGTCTCTGGAATTAAGCACCATCAAGCTCTCCTATTAATAAATTTAATTTAGATCTCCTAATTTCTTGCGTATGTTCTTTCACATAGACAATTAAATGTGGAAGTCGTTTTGTTTGTAAAGGGAAGTCTTGCAGGATTTTCAGTAAGTTGCTAATGAGTCTGGCTGTCGTTGACAGTCTGGCCATGAGTAGATTGATTAGAGTAAAGCTGCATCCAGGGTATGGCTCTGAGTGCTGAACCTGTTTGGTCTCAGATGCTATAAACAGTGAAAATTGCCCCTGATTCAGTTTTTCACCACAGCCTCTAAATCTGAAGATTTGGCCGTGGTGCCATTAATTCATTGCCCAAGTATCCCACTGTTCAGAACAACCTCCCCCCCTTCCCTTGCAGTGTCCATAAATGTCCTTAAAGCTGAGAGCTGAGAATGGTGCAATCCTTCTAGATTTGGGTAAAGAGCAGGCTCTGTCTCCCTTTAGTCCTGGCTTTTGGAGCTCTAAGTGACCTATTTGAACACTTTCACACTTTCTGTGGCTCTTACTGATTTGGAGAATTGAAACTCTGAGATTGTGCTTTCCTCAAAAATTCAAATTTTAAGAAATTTGGAGCGAGAAATGTTTCCCCCCTTTATTTACAACTTGAGTTGTAAACTGGGAAAGCATGAGGATTTCCAGCCCAAGTTCACTTGCTGAGGGTTTCTAACAGGAATCCCTCTGTTGGGAATGGTAAAAAATTTTAAAATAAATAAATAAATAAATAAATAAATAATAAATAAATAAATAATAAATATAAATAAAAATAAATAAATTTAACCAAAAATGAAATGAAGAGGAAAGCAATAAGGAAAGGCCACAACAGGGGAGACCTCAAAGTCCCTGGGTGATTTAAGATTTGTAAATTTCTACCCCAGTGAAAGAACTCGGGCCTATTTCTTTCAAAAAGGAAGTAGAGCCATGGATAACCATTAGCGTGTGCATGTTAATTATTTGGATCTTAAAAATTCGAGGAAATGGCAATCTAGTGGGAGTGTTTCCTGTTACTGCGGTTTGGCCCTAACCTTTAAGTGAGCTAGAGCAGCTCCGCATGCTTTGTCTAAGACAAAGCTTTATCGCTTGGGTTGGATGCCTTCCCCGCTCTCTTATTTGAGGTTTAATTCTTCCTCCGAGAAGACAAAGTTTTGCCCACTCCTTCCCGTTGTCGGCCGGAAGCTGCCCACTGCCTCTAGTGCATTCCTGGGGATGCCCCGCGCCGCCCGACGGCAGCCAAGCTTCCAGCCCCGTCTCCGCGGGGATGGGTCGCTCTGCCTCCGCTGGTTTGTTGGCGGGTGTACACGCGCGTGTTCCGCGTGGGGCTCTGCCCCGGGAGCGAGCTCACACACGACGGGCGGGAGGTGAGCGCCGCGCGTGGCTGAGCCGAGCCGTCTGTCTTTCCCACGCGCCCAAGGTTGTCAGGGCCTCTGGCTGTCCTGTCCTCGCCTTGCTTCGCGTCAGAGATGAACTGCATTAAAATTCTCTCTCTCCTCCCACGCGAGTTCGGAAATGAGTTCAATCTGTAGACATACTTGAAAATTTCCAAGACTCCTTGTACGAATTCACTACCCAACTTGAGTAAAGGGAGCCACCATGCGGGGAGTTTGCTGACTTCATGGTCCGTTGAAGCGGGAAACCCACAGACACCATTCGCTGGGTGGGGGAGACGCGCACCTGCGGGCGCCCCGGGCTGCGGCGCCCCGGCCGCGCCTCGGGCTCGCAGAGGCTGCGCCACCTCCGCTCTTCTCACCCGAGCTCCCTCAGTGCGGGGCCTCGGGGCGCACCCCGCCCGGGCCCCCAACCCGCTCGGTGAAGTGAAAAACTAAGCAGAGAATTTAATGAGATTTTTTTTGGTCATTGAACTCCAAAAACATGTAGCTTCGGAGACACATTCATTTCTCAGCACAATCTGAAGACCCGCCCCCAGCAGCCTATTGGTGGGACTCAACCCCCCGACAGGACCGCGCTGACCGTTCGCGTCCCTGATGCCTCTGATTAGACGAGTTTGGGGCCAGTGGACAAGGAAGCTCTCCTGCTCTGGAAAGTCCCGGCCGGGTTCCCAGGGCGGGGGAGGCTGGGGGGCTGAGGGAGGGAACTAGACGCTGAGGGCCAGTGGGAGGCCGCGGGGCCTGGGGCCGCACCCCGGCCTCGCCAAATCTCCAGGGGTGAGCGCAGGCCCTTTGACTTTCTATTCAGAGGAGGCGCATACGGGGCCATCGAAGCCTCAGTGACTAAAGCTACCCCAAGTACGCCCTTTCTCCCCCCCTCCGGCCCCCCAAGGTGGGAGAGCTCTAACTGCCCCGAGGCAGGGGCCCGGAAGCACCAGGCCCTGCGCCAGCGCAGTGCCAGCCTTTTCATTACCAACGCAGGCGCCAGGCTGGCTCACCGGGAGGGTGGGGCTGGGGCTGGGAGCCCGGGGACCTCCACTAGGGTGCCCTGAGCGCGGGAGAAGGGAGAGGGGAGAGTGAGAGCAGATAATTGGGAGGGGTGGGGGAAGGGGGGAGAGCCTCCCAGTTTTACCCTGTTCTTACCGGGGTTCCCTTCCAAAGGGATTTCTACATCCTACTAAGGTGACTACGGTTAGGAGGGAGAGGGAAACCTTTAGATCTATATGCGATTGAAAATGGCAAGGGGGAGAGAGGGAGAAGGTGATGAAGGGACCAAGGAGTCAGAACTTCCTATTTATGGATCAGGCAAAGGGCCTCGCCCACAGCCGCACCCCCTCCCCAGCCTTCCACGGAGGAAGGGCAATCCCCAGGCAGGAACGCTTCCTTCCAGGCCGTGGAGGCAGAGAATGGCACCTAAGTGGGATCCTGCGCCCAGTTAGAAGAGTGAGCGGGCCCACGGAACTCCCCAGCCTGGGAGGGTCCACCCATGTCCTCTGTAAGGCCAAGGGGCCTGTTGGAGGTGGCAGTCTCCCGCTAAGGAGTGACCCACCCAAACACTGCTTGGAAATACTTGTTGGAAATGATAAAGACCCTGAATTCCAAGCCCCTAATGTATCGACCCCTTTTTAGCCGGTTTGTCCTGAAGATGTGAAAACAACATTAGGTCGGAAGTGGTGAACGCTGGCTAAAAGTCTAGCATTGTTTTGTTTTCTCTCGTCAAGCCTTTCGGATCAACATTTGATTTAAAAAACTCTTTAGTCCTTGAAAAAGTGGGTTTTTGTATTCAAACAGAAGAATGCGTCTAACATATTCACTGGGTGTTTGAACTTGCAGATGGCTTCACAACCTTAGCGAAAACCTGGCACAGACAGGAATCAGTTCCCTAGGATAAGGAGATTTCTACTACTTCCCTTCTGGCCTAGCTACCCATCCATCCTACACAGTTTCCATGCAGGCACTTTTTTTCTTTTCTTTCTTTTGCTATGCAGCAGCTCTCCCCAATGCCTATACCTACACCTCCGCCACCACCATGTCCTACTCCAATACATAGAAAAGGTCATCCTATATGAGTATGCACATGGCATATTCATACATTCCCAGCATAAATAATACTGAACCAGGCTGGGAAAGTCTTATACTCTCCTATTAACTTCTCACTAGTGCGTAGCATGGCATAGCATAAGAATCAGCTATGCTTTTTCAAGTTTGATGCCAAAGAGCATCCTCTCATATGAGTGACAAAAGGAAATTGCAGCACTGTTTTCAATTTCACTCTAAACTTTTTCCCTTCTGATTCTTCCAGAAAATGTGATGACTAATGACTCACTTCATACTGATCACACCTGTAGGGAAACCCAAATGTTCTGCCTCAGAACATCATGACCATCACTTACTACACTGCCTGCATCACGCCCTTCTGAACTCATTATGAAGTAAGGAGCTGATGAGCTTACCCACAATGTGTCATGACTTACTTCCCTGACCTTCAGAACTTAGTGTTTCACACACTCTAAAAACAACCAGCAACCGAAGCCTTCCCAAACCACACAAGCAAAAGCATCTCTCTCTAATTCAAGCACCGAATTGCATGTTCACAGGGTCAAGAGATTTTTGCCAGTTGTTTTATGACAAAGCAGACGCTCAAGAATCAAAAACTAGGATCTAACCTTTGCTGCAGGTTTGGGTGATTTCAACTACCTTACAAATATGGCTTTTTGAAGGCTGTGTTCCCTGAAATATTTTGGGAGCCAAAAGTATATACCCCAGTCTTCACTCTGCAGAATCTGTCAAATTCTCCCGAG